CGACTACACAAAATTACCTTCTTGGAAGTCTCCTACAACCCAAAATTACAAAGAGAAATTAATACCTATTCATTATAAATTTCCAGCAATATATACACTCTTTAAATCACTTTTAAACCTTCTAAAACATGCTGAAAATTAATTTAAACCACCTACTTTTATTCCCAATTAATGGATAATTAAAAATCCTTTCAAGAAACATAATTCTAGCCTTTATATAAAAACTCCAGCATTATAAAAACTCATAAACTTGCTGTAATTTTGTTTCAAAAATTGATTTCAATAGTATTAATCAACTACAATCAAATTCCATCAATAAACATTAATTTACAAACCTAGGGTTTTCAATTTGGGGCTTTTAAATTCAAAAACCAAATTTGAAAATTATATACATATTAATCATTATTAAAACTTCATAAAATCATCACACACACCCAAAATCAACAATTAATTAAGGTTGGATTAATTTAAAACAAAAGAGAGAGGGAGAGAGAGTTTATTTTTTTAAACACAATCGCACGCACAGGAGGGGGCTGCTGCCGCCCTCCACACCGGTGGCTGCTGCTGCCAATTGCTGTTGGCGGCGGTGGCCGGTTGGTGGGAAGTGGTGGTGGTGGCCAACCACCTTAGTGTGTGCGTGTGAATGTTGTGAGGAAGAGGGAAAAATTAAGGAGAGAGAAAGAGAGTTTACCTTTGGGTATTATCTATCTTGAGCAAAGTCTAATTTGCTCATATGATGGGTATTTATACCCTCACTCTAAACCCTCCTAACTTAAATTTCCTTGCTACCTTTAATGATTCCTTCTTCTATTCAAACTAGTCATTGACTTTCTTTAAAATTCCATTGATCTTAAAACTTCCTTTTTATAAAATAATTATGCCCCAAAGTTTACAAATAATAAAAATAAAATAATTTTAAAACAATTAAATAAATAAAAATGGACTTTTAATTAAAATAAACCTTTTTAACTTATTAAAATACCATAAATAATTTATTTCGAATTATTTAAATACTTCATAAAAATAACGTTTTAAATTAATATACGTATAAAAGTACGGGGTATTACATAAACCGCATTAGTTTCACCCCTATGTATCAAGGTTTATTTAAAAAGTAATCATCTTTTTCCCTATTATCAGTTCGTTGGTAAAGATTTGTCTGGGATCGCAACGGTTGTCAAATCTTCAAAGTCGTTCAAGTGAATCAGATGAAAATCATCCTTACGGATATAACAAATCGTTAGACTACTGTCTCTCCAAAAAGGTTGTATATTCCAGCAATGTATGCAAGAGATGTACCACAGTGCAAGATCTATTCAACGATTGTAGCTTTGATGAAGGAAACCCTTATTTGTTTCAATTTTATGTATTTATTGATTTAGATTTCATTTATTTGTAAATGTCGTATGGTTTTGATTAATGAATTGATTTTTTTAAAAAAAATAAAAAAAAAATAGAAAAATCTAGATATGCAATGAAGATGTAGTGTGTGGTCTAGAAAAATCTTAAATTGAGTAGAAAAACCAAGTGATGTTTATAATTAGAAATATATATCTTGTAAAATATCAAAGATATTTGGTGTAGAAATATCTGGATACATGTAATATTAGATAAGTGTAGAAAAATCTAGAGAGTGGGAAACAACAACTATAAATATGTTGCATGTACATGAGTTAAAAGGTGAGTTAAACAAAAGAGGTCCACAATGATTGACAAAAACCAAGGGTTCATCAAGAAAGTGAGAGATATGAACATAAAGGAGATAAAGCTGGTGAAAAGACTCCATAAATTATTAACTAAGAAACATAAAGCTAAAGCAAACTGAGGAAGAACAACATACCTGAAATTTTTTACAAATTAGACAAACGAATCAAACGAACATTAAGAAAAATCTATCTGAACAACAATAAAAACAAAGATTACAATATTTTAACAAGAAATGCAAGAATGAAATATCATATTCTAACATGAAAATGAGATAAAATCAAGAAAGAACAACAAACCTCTACAATAATAACTTGTTCATTAGGAATCAATAGGCAGAATCTGTTTGAAATAAACAATGCAATAAAAATAAATAGAAATGCAAGAATGCACAAAAATCATCAAACAAACATAAGAGTACTAAGTATTACGTATAGTGAGTATGATCAACCCCGCAAGTTTGTGCCACACCCAATTTAATTTCTGTCTGATTAAAGAACCTACCCCTGAAACTCGACGCTGAATCCAATCCCAAATTTGCTTAATCACTAGAGATAAATTAAAAGAAAGACAGTTATCCCTCCAACCACTGAAATAGATGTGATATGCCGTAATTTAGCCAAGATTTCTATATTATATCACCATGGTGTATTTATGTAATATCCTGTAATTTTGAGAATTATTTTTCTTAATTATTTTAATTTAATAAGGGTATTTTAGTAATTTTCTATTATTTGAATATAAGATCAATTTAAGAATTCAAATTTAGGCGCTAAAATATTGGAGTAAATAATTTACCACTTTTGGATTTTTTAATTTATTTAATTAATTTTGGATTTTAATTGATTAATGTAAATAATTTCTAATTTTATTAATTTATCGCATCTTAATATTCCAAAGTTTACTTTGCTAAACTATTTAGTTTAGTGTTTAATAAATTTACTAATTAATTTTCAGGTTTTATTAAATTAATGTTGGATTAATTTAATCTAATTATCAATTATTATCTTTAAAAATCCGAAAATTAATCATTAATTATGATAATTATTTTTTTTTATTTTCAAAGTGATTTTATCTTTTAGAATAAATTTTTAATTAATTATATTGAAATGTCTTAAGCTTTTTAAAATCTTTTTACTTTCAAGACAAAATTAATTATTCTCGGTTTATGAAACTTATCTAGCTTAACATTCTTGGTCATGAGAATTATTCAATGATTTTTTTGTAGTTAATTATGATTTTTGATTTTATCATTATCAAAAATTTGATAAACATTACGTTATGGCTGAAAAATATTTGATGTATTTAACTTGATTTTTAGTTTTTATTTTACCTAAATTATGAAATGATAAAGTCTTGTATTTTCCTAATTAAATTCCTAAATTAAAAAACCAATGTAAATCCTACGAGTATTTCTTTTCACACTTAAATTCAATCATTTTCACACCATAAATTCTATCTTTTAACACCTTAAGTTATTAAATGATAAACTAGATTATCAGCCTAATTATCAATGTAAAAACAAATTATCAATTATAATTTTATTTCTTTTCACACTTTAAATTCTATCTTTTACTAATCATAAAATCCTAACTTTGTACTCCCTAAACACTATAAATATCCCATCTACACCTCTCATATTCTTCACACAAAAACCCAATTCTCTTATTCTCTCTTAATTTTCTTTTCCTAAATCTTTTCTTACTTTTCTTACCCTTTTTCGTAGAATAATCAGTCCGTATACATTTAAAGTCAGTTTTCGGACACTTCTGGTCATTTTTTGTTATTTTAACATTTTATTGTTTCCCAAAAATAATTTCCTCTCGAAAATCCTTGAGATTAGGCACAAGAATCACCCAATCCGGAGTTATATTGTAGGAGTTATGGTCTCTGCAAGTTCTGCCTATTTTTTCCAACGCAGATTTTTCTTTTTAATCTGATTCCTTTAATTGGTGGCTGGGATTATAATTCTTGAAGGTTGAGGTACGTATAAATGGCTAAACCTTTTTATAAAGGTTTTGATGTTACCATATGTGTATATGTTTGAATAGTTGTTTGAATGAATGTTTGAATAAATATGTTTTAAGGATTGATTTTGAAATCATGTTTGAATTAACTTGAATTTATTTATGATTAAGGAAATTGGTTATTGAATTTAAAAGGATTGGATTGGAATTTCTTAAAGGTTGATTTAAATTCAAGAGAAATTATCTATTAAACTTTGTATGACCTAGTCTTTCCTCTACAATAACCTTTCTATGTAAAGATACTAACTTGGGGGGTGTGCACACTTAGGAGAGGATTGATTTTTGAAAAGTTTCTATCTTTAAATATTCCTCTGTTTGGAAAGCTTATATTTGGAAATTATAAATTTGGAAAGTCTAATTTTGAAAAGTGATGAATTTTGAAAAAATTCATATTTTGGCACGTTTAAATTAATGTAACTATTTTGGAAGCATGTTTGCCTAATAAAAGAATTTGACATGTCTTGTACTTAGCGTTTTTGCTAACATGTATTCCTATTTTTTTTGGTTCGCCATGTTTACCAATTTGGTAAGCAATTGTGATTTTAGGTGGAGTCTATATGCTGCATCGGGAGTTTGGGATTAATAACCTAGTCTAGGGTTGGAAAGTAGGCTTAAAGATCTTTTCACGAAAATGACCATATCTTAAAATCTACAAAAGATTTTATTCTTATTTCAATTGGGTTGGAAAGTAGATTTAAAGATCTTTCCAACGATATATAATATGCCTTATTCCAAGTTACAGATTAAAAGTTATGGAAGTTTTAAAAACGCATAATATTTGTCAAATTTGCCACAACACACCAGCACGGTACAAAATACCGTACGACATACTCCCTCCGTTTTTTTTTAATTGCATCACTAGCCTTAAATAGGTTTTTTTTTTATTTGCATCACTTCTATATATAGTAACTTTATACCATATTCTATTATTTCTCTCATCTACTTTAAACCCACTCAAATTAATTTATCATTTCTCTCTCTTATGGTCTCCACTATTATCTCTCACATACTTTCACTCACATTATTATATTATAACAATTTCACTCTCCTAAAACTCCGCGCATGTGCAAGTGATGCAAATAAAATAAAAACGAAGGGAGTATAAAATACCGTGAAAAAACACAAAGATGAACTATAAAATGAGCCGAAGAGAGTACTACGTATTTCATTATGTTAAATAAATTACTACCTCCATTTTATATTTTATGAAATGGAGGTAGTAGTATATTCCAAAAGCAAAATATTGGGCGTGACTAGATGATGCCACGTGGAGTAAAAGCACACTTCTCTTGCTGCAAAAGACCTACACGTAGAAATGTTGTGATGCGTAAATCAAACTTTTCCATTATTATTTCTCTCTCTCGACTCCCTCATTCTCACTGCACGCACGTTGGTTTGCATTTGGGAGATAGGCAGTATTCTTCATCTTTTTACTCTACTACTCTACTAGTAAGTTCAATGTCACTCTCATTATCTTTTCTTTTGTGCTAGTATAACTATGCTATAATTTGTTCAATGTCTTTTGATTTGAACTCGAATGAATGTATAGTTCATCGTACACAGACTCTCCATCTTTTGCCATAGGCAAACCCGCCAAATCTAGTAAGTTTTCTTTGTGCAGTCATGTTTTCGGAATTCTTGTTGAAACTTGTAACAGTCGCCATCCAAAAAAAAAAAAATCGTTGCCTGAGAGATTCGAACTCTCGCGGGGAAACCCCATTACTTAGCAGACACACGCCTTAATTACTCGGCCAAAGCGACTCATTTGGTCTCTTATTCTAATTTAACAATTTAATTATTTATTGCATTCAATATAACTTCGTTTTATTTTATGAATACTTGTGTGATAATTATCAAAGTGAGTAGTATGGACTTGATAGTTGAGAGCCTTGAAGGTGTCAAGATAAATACAAGTGTATTTTTGTAAAAAATAAAAATTATTTGGCGGTGCTAGTCGGCTTATTTAATTATTTAGTTGTATTGTATTATTTCTTGTGAGAGTGAAGGATAACTCAAGTGGTCAAAGCTTTCCTCTCGATTCCAAAAGATAGCTTGGTGCCCCCGGTGCACCAAATAGCCGAAATAGGGATTGCTATATTGGGCTACTCTGCCTTTGGTTACGTAGAGCACTCGCCCAATTTGGTGTAAAAATAAGAAAAAGAGAACTAAAATTTTGTTTAAAGAAGTATTGTGCGAATAAGTGTGCTAGCCCAACTAAGCAATTCTAAATAATTGTGGTCATGTATGATTTCAGCTGTCTGCATTGATGCTGCAGTGGTGATATTTCATTGAGGAAAGAAATTTTGGCTTGATAAGCTTGGTAGTTTATGTTAGATGCTAGCTAATTGAATTGGATGCTGAGAACTTGAGATATCCCATGTTATATGTGTCGTGGATTGATTGATCGCATTAGTTTGAGTTTTGTTTCCCTTGACACTTGCCTTTGCACATTCAGGCTCTCTAATAAAATCTTGTTAGTCTTCGTTTTTCAGTCAATTCATGTCTAAACTCTAAACTATCTGCCATGAAATGCATCACTAGATTGCAATTCCCTGTCGCATAACTATAACGGAATATAATAATAGCTCACAGCAGTACATGGGGCATATTATGTCTCTTCACTAGTCTGTAGCTGACATTCTGCTACTCCGTAATTTAGTAGTAGATAAAGACTGATGTTTGTATTTATTCACTTGGTGATATCCATCATGACACTTTGTTAAAGATATTCAGTAGTAATTTGTATGACATTTTGTCATTCTGTTCTGTTAACTTATTAGTCCTGTTATATAAACACAGCAGGTCAACATTCCTATTTAGCAGAGAGTCCATAGCTTTTATTTGACCTGTTATTGGAGCATGTATGAAGTATAAACAGTTCATGTCTCAACTATATGCCAGGGATTGCGTCAGTAGATGCAATGCCTGGTGTGAGCTAATACTTGTATGAAAATCTTCTACCAGTTCAATATGTAGTGTTTGTTCACAGCAAGGCAAGAGGCTGGGAAATTAATAAAAAATGCATATCATTATGGCTGCTCTAAAATATATATACCGTATGGAACATAAAGATAGTTGCACACAATAACTAACTAGTAACATTCTATCCTTGCTGATATTACCATTTGGAGCTACAGTTTTGGTAGTCAGTTGCATTTACATTTTTTTCATTCTGTTTACTCAAAACACTGATTACATAATACAGTTGACGGCTTGTTTGTTTTACTAAGGCAATTACTTTTTCTGCTGGTTGTGACTAATCGTACTGCTTCTGGTCTTTTTATTTGATCTTTACAGCTTCTGAAAGCATCAGGAACAAGTCTGCTAAACTTGGTTTGTCTTTCTGAAATCTTGAAACTTTCTCACCACCTTAGTTTCCTTAATCCAGAGAACTCAGAATACATCATCAAAACAATGTCTGGTGTAACCTTAGCTGTGGCTCCTGGGAGTGGACCAGATAAAGTCTCGATGCCATCCTTAAATCCCGAAACCAACCCCTTTCTATCAAGTAATGAACAACAGACTGTCACCACTGGAATGATGGGCTCATTACGCGTCATAGAACTCCAACTAGTAGCCTTCATTATGGTCTTCTCTATCAGTGGACTAGTCCCGCTCCTCGACCTTATCTTCCCTGCCTTTGCCTCTGCATACATCATTGCCCTCTCACGCTTCGCCTTCCCTTCTTATAGCAATAACCGATCTCACTCAACGGAGATATTCCAGGGAAGTAGTCTTTTTCGGCTTTATGTAGTTTTGGGGACCACAATTGGGTTATTCTTACCCCTTGCATACGTCTTAGGAGGGTTTGCAAGGGGAGACGATCATGCGCTGAGGTCAGCTACGCCTCATTTGTTCTTGCTCTCATTCCAAATACTCACCGAGAACATAATAAGCGGGCTTTCCTTGTTTTCCCCTCCAGTGAGGGCATTGGTTCCCTTGTTGTACACAGTTCGGAGGATTTTTGTTATACTAGATTGGATGCAGGATGTTTGGATTACTAAGACCTTGCAAGTCGATGCTCCTTCCAAGGTAACTTCTATGAGTTCTTTATGATGTATTCTTTCTTCATCTAGCCCTATTTTCTATGTTGAATAATTCTGTTCCTGATGAAGCCTATTTGTACTTTGTTTTACGTCCACAACTAACAAATAGCTTGATCAGATGGAAAGGCCTTATAGTATCCAGGTTTACTAAACAATAAGAACGTGATTCAACAAACTTATACTGATTTTCCTAAGATGATTTATGTTCTATTTGATGAGTGCTTTAAATTTTGGGTATGACTACTATATATCTTCAATCCCTAGGCCACTCCTACTTGAACATAATAAAATGGTGATCTCTGATGAGTGATGACTCTATGTTCTCATGTGCTGTATACTGGTATGGTGCGTATCTGCCTTCTTATATCTATATGAGAATGAAGCAAGAAAATGGCTTGGGTCGCCTTAATACAAAGATTGAAGACTTTTTATATTATTATACTATACATTACTTGACATTCAGTTTATGTTTCAAGTTTCTGAGGCTAATATATATTGTTTTCTGCATTGTATGCTGCTAAGGATGTTGCGTGGTTTTGGTTTGGGAGGAGCTTGGCAGTTGCTAATCTAGTGTACTTCTCCATCAACCTCTTGTGCTTCTTGATCCCACGTTTCCTTCCGCGGGCATTCGAGAGGTACTTCAGTGAAAGAGACGAGATCCACATGAAGATAGGAGAGGATAAGCGCCGGACTGCTGCAAACATGTCTCAGCCTTCAGATAAGAAGTCTGACTGATTTTACAATCATTCATGCTTTTGTCTTAACTTTAATGTTGTGAATTCAACCTCCTTTCTCCCATTTTCCCCTTGATAGATTGTGATTTGCAAAGGTCTTGTTGATCATCCGATCAAGCAATCGTTGGAAAAATGTAACATTATTCAGTGTAAGGTTAGGACAATTCTAATGAGCAAGTGTAGGATAAATAATTTCAGCTTCAAAAAACAGGACAGGGTTGTTTCAAATGATTCAAGTTTCTGAATTATTCACTTGAATGTTCACTATATAGTCCATCGTATGATCCATGTAATGTCAATGCCATGACATAGTCTCATGATGTTATTCCTATGGTACGTAGTACAAGTTCTAAGCTATGCATATCATATTCACCTCAAACTAGCTTTGACTTATTATGGTCAAAGGGAAAAAAGCAAACTTTTGAGGAATCTAGTCTATAATTTCAAAATCAAGAGGTATGAGCTCCATCATTGATGGTGGGATTGTTCTAGTGAATTGTTATGCCCTTCCCCGGGTGTACATGAAGAATATAAGAGTGTACATGAAGAATACGAGAGCGTGTAATATTATGCCGAGGTAAAGGATGAACATTTTGCTCTTTCTCTTGTATTTACATATCGATACTTAAATCTAAGCTCAAATTTCTTAGATTAGAAAATTTCTAATTTTACACTAACATCAAATTTAGAATTAATAACACTCAAATCACTCATTAGCAAATTTAGCATCTTAATCGAATCCATTGATTTCATATTTATTTGGAATAAATTCATTCCAAATAAGACAAATTTCAACATATTAAGATAAGATCACAATTAGCACTGTACTATTCGCCACATAATGTGGCTGAAGTCGGTAAATAACTAATCTTTCAAAACGAATAATTATAATTATTAAAAAAAAACAAAAAACATTAATTTGTTCGCTTGGTCGGCTGCACACTTATCCTATATATATAGTATTACTTTGGTCGTTTTCTATTTACCTTTTCTGCGTATTTCTTTATTATTTTTGAGGATGAGAATTATGATGATTTAAGAGGTGAAATGGAAGAATTATAAGGGGTTTTAGGGTACTTTACGCGTTTGAAAGTGTACTTTCAATAAAAAGGCCCCAATAGAGGGCGTAGAAGGGTTTAAACCAAGGCCACTTATTGCTTTCTGGACGGTTGTAATTTTGCAAGCTGGCTTGTATTTTTGAATATGCAATACTTACAATGGACCACCCCAAATGGCATTGGTGTTAGGTTTTTTTACAACGAAATAAATAAATTAAATAAAACCTATCCTAGAATGAGTCGCGGCAAATTAGAAAAATATTTTCTAAATGAGCTTGGTGAAATTCAATCTTTGTTCTCAAAAGTCGATAAATTAGCTTTTAAGCAGTATTTCTTCCAAAAGGTGTAGGCGAAGTGCTTCAATTGTTCACTCCATCACCTTGTGTTTGTACTAGTATAAGGTAGCCATTAGGTTTGGTTAACAATATTACAATTGTATTGTATTGCTCTTATGATGTTTTGCTTTTGTTTGGCCTTTTTTTTTTTCTTGTTTTTTTAAGGTGTCACATGCATTTTTCCTCATCTTGCAAGGAGGTTAAAGGTGATGGTCACTTATGCAACTTGTACTAGCTATTATTTGAGTAGATTAAGGCATATAAGCACCTAAATAGAGCCACCAACATTTTTCCATTTAGAATAAAGTAGTGAGCTAATTCAAATCAAACATAGAGCATAACTATACTATTTATTTTGGCAGAAAATATGATTTTTTTTTTTCTAATGAAAATCACAACTTTTACACATACATGTCAAATTCTGATAACTCAATATAAATTTATAGAGAAAACAATAACTATATTGCATATCTTATGAGATTTGGGTTTAATGGTTTTAATCAGTTCTAAATATTTGAAAGTCAATTGAGCTTTTTCACACGATTCAAACTGACTGCATAACAAATAAACAAATGTATTCAATTCTCTACGATATATTTGTACTCACTTTAAATAAGTTTGATTTACAATCTTAATTTAAATTCCTAATTTTTATCGCCCTTCCTTATGAGCTTGGTTCAAAGAAAAAGGGCATGTCAATTAATGTTTTGATTTTGTTGTAACGATTTGCATTAATGGTCAATAACCTTAAGGTTTGTGTATTCTATTTATAAATTAAATTGTTGTTAGATGTATACCAACTCAAAACTCATAAATACAATGTTAGTCTGTTTTGCTTGTTAATGTAATGGAGTAGAAATCTGTTTTGATTTTCATATTTTGCAACACAGTTTCAATTACTTTCTGCAAAATCAATCAAATTTATTTTGCTTTAAAGTTAATGTCACAATAATTTTATTTTTCCTTTTTAAGTTTTATTTATAAAAATACATGCAACCACATTAATTTATAAGCAAAAATCAACTTCCCCCATCGTATTAAATTTAAACAAAAAAAAAAAAAAAAACAAAAAACGCACTTATGTTACATCTAAAATTTACTGAAAATTAAATAAAACAAACCTATCTACACAGTACAATTCAAACTTTTCATTGTTTTACTCTTCTAAACAACATGTTTTTTCCTCACCTTCTACAAAATAGACTCATATTCATTTTTTCAATTTATCTTACTTGTATTAAAAAAAATGAATCACTAAAAATATGTTACAAAAATGGAGTCCAAGTTCAACTCTGATTATATTCTTTTTACATACTTAATACTTTATATCATATAATCCAATTTTTAATATCTTGGTGTTCAAATCTTGAACCATATAAATTGACCATATCTTCCAACCTTATATAGTGCTTGTTTGAATATATATATATATATATATATATATATATATATATATATATATATATATATATATATATATATATATATATATATATATATATATATATATATATATATATATATATAGGATTAGGATCATGTAAAAACAAGTCTTAGGGTGAAAACATGAAAACAATTAATCCCAGCCGTAGATTATAATCTAACGGATGATATTTAATGTATATATATCCTAATTTTCTCTCTCCTCCCGCGAAAACACTTTCTCTTTCCTCTGTTATTTTCTTCCTCCTCTTCCTTCTCTCTTCACTTTCTCTCTCCTAATTTCTCGACATTAGCGAACTCCTTCAGCAACATCGCTTCAATTACCATCAGCGAACTCCTTCAGCAACACCGCTTCAATTACTTTGATTTTTAGCAATTTCTCAGCTCTACGATCTATTATCAGGTGAGTTCTTTGTGGTAATTTCGCTATTTTTGCACGATTTGAGGTTATTAGGTTTCTGAAATTTTGTTTGCTGGAATTTCATGAGTACTTTTTTGTAGATTCAACCGAAAATTTAATGTCTATTATGTTTTCGTGTATGATTTTTGTTTAATTTTGTAATTTTGCATGTTTTTTTATTTTATTTTTTCGATTTGATTTTATTTTTTGAATTTCAACTTAAGTTTCGTTTTAGTAGAAGTATTTTTTAAATGTATTTTGTTTAATTTTTCTTAATTTAAGTAAACTAGGTTTTTATGTGTATTTTTGCTCGAAATTCTGCTTTTGTTGTTCTTCTTCATCTTCTTAGTAACACGATTTTTGTTGAGCATAATTTTGTTTTTGTTGATTTCGAGTTTAGCTGATTTTTGTGGATTTTGATTTCGAATTAATGCCTGTTAGGAATGCGAATAACTAAAATGCGAATTGTGTGTGTGTGTTTGTGTTTGGAGTAGTTAATTTGAATTTTGAGTAATTTGAAGTGTTTTTAGTGGATTTGTGAGTGAATTCGGGAGAGTTTGGAGTAGTTAATTCGAATTTTGAGTAATTTGAAGTGTTTTTAGTGGATTTGTGAGTGAATTCGGGAGAGTTTGGAGTAGTTAATTCGAATTTTGAGTAATTTGAAATGTTTTTAGTGGATTTGTGAGTGAATTAGTGAGAGTTTGGAGTAGTTAATTCGAATTTTGAGTAATTTGAAGTGTTTTTAGTGGATTTGTGAGTGAATTAGTGAGAGTTTGGAGACATAAATTAGCTACACTGGTTCCTGCTTCCACTTGGTGTCCAACTCGATTTGTATTTTCCCGTGTTCCGTTTGGTGTAGGCAACAGGAATGGTCATCAATCTCTTGCTAATGATGATCTGGAATTGAGACCTGACCAACATGGTGACATGTTTGGAGATGGACTAACTGCCTTGGTTGCATTGGTGTTCCTTGATGCTGTTGTGTTTCTCTCTTACAACCTGTCTTTTCTTATTTGTGATTTGAAGTGGTTTCAGCTGCATCAAATGTCATTAGGTTCCTACATGAATTATTTGCCTTTTGCACTTAGATAAATTTTCTGGTGTTTGTGATATTGATGCAAAGACTCTTTCCACATCAACCGTAGAAAGAAAGAAAGAAAGAAAGAACATAAAGTATGAAGAATGCTTCCTGGTTTAAGATACTGACTTTGATTCTATATGTCCGATTTTTGGTGTTGAGAGCAGATTGCTTAAGCGACTAACCCAGGAACAAACATCTGGGGTGGATTTGTGATAGATTGCTTCTGATCATGCTAAATCGACATCTACATGACTTTCTTGACTGTTGAAAAGTGTACTTCTAGTCTGACATATGTGCATGGTTAATTTGACTCTGTACTGGATTTTGCTTCAAAATTTCTGAATTAGGCCTGTTTTGAACTTGAATCAAGGTAGCCAGAATTCGAGGATTTGGATACCTTAGTTTGATTTGATTTTCACTGCCCTGACCTGACTTGAATTGATTTTTTTATTCGTAAACAAATTGGTTGTCAAAAGACATAAATATGAATATGACCTGAACTTGTTCTAAACCAAACCAAAATAAACTGAATCTTTTTGGAGGGGTGTTGGACTATGTTATTTTTGAAGTTTTGTTTTAAAAAAAGGTCACTATGCCATAAAAAGAGGCAACTACTTTGGTTTCTTTTGTTTATCTTTTTGTATGTCTTGTTACAGGGTGCAACAAGGATTTTCATTCGATTTGGATTAGATTTTATAACTATGGTGAGAACTAGAGGTGGTGCTACTTTTAAAAAAAGGAGAGGCCTTCGTAGCTCAACAGGAGGAGTTAAATTGAAAGATACAGGAGGTATGATGAATGTTTGATTTTTGGATTATTAACCTTAATATACTAGTTGCTCTATTATGATAGTCTCCTAATACTATAGAATGTAGGTCCCTATATTAATATAAAAGTTACTATATTATTAGTTCTCTATGTAACTGAAAAAGGTCACTATATCAATGACAATGATTATTATTTTTAAGTTATTAGTTTGCTATATTATAATTGTTTGCTAGATTAAAATGAAGATAATTGTATATATAACTATATGCTTGCGTGTTTTTAGCATGTATCAATCTCGATCATGAAGATGAAGAGCATATTGATGATGGAAGCAAAATGATCGATGATGATACTAACAGAGATAAAGATGCTTGTATTGAAAAAGGATTGAAAAAGAAAGCTATCACTAAGAAAAAGAAACCTTCTAACATTGAGAATGCTATACCTTTGTCAACTGTGATGGAAGGAAAGAAGGGGAATAAGTCTTCTTCTTCACATGCTATTGTTTTGCCAGCTAAGAAGAGAAAGTTGGATGAAAATGAAGGTCTTAAAGTGAAGAAAGTGAAGGCAAATAAGGATAAGAACATTGTGATTCATAGGCAAGAATCTGCAATCATAGATAGTGATGTACATATGTAAGTGAATATTTGTTTCTTTTTTTTGAAGTTTTGTTTAAAAAAAAGGTCACTATGCTATAAAAAGAGGCTACTATTTTGGTTTCTTTTGTTTATCTTTTCGTATGTCTTGTTACAGGGTGCAACGAGGATTTAAAACACGTTGCAGGCCATTTCATTTAGTAGAGATGATTAAAACTTTTTCAGATGATCAAATCAAGGCTGTTAAAGAAATTGGCTTTGGAGGTTTGTTATCTTTGAAGGTGAAACGAACTGCAACTGATATGCTATCATGGTTGGTAGATTGTTTTGATCATGGTAGCTGCATGTTTACTATTGATGGTAAAAAAGATTTTGTTGTGACTGAATTTGATGTGTATGATGTTTTTTGCCTTCCTTGCAAAACATCTAAGAAAGTTGAAGAAATTTCTCGTTGTGCTAATGTCATCAACCCTGATTATGATTTAAAGGTTAAATGGAGGTCTCATTTTGGTCTTATGGGTGAGAATGATCAGATTCCTTTGGGTTTTTTGGAATCTAAGATCCCTTTACTAGTAGATGGTGGGGAAGAATTCAGACAGCTTTTTATCATGCATGCTTTTTCAAGTTTTTTAGCACCTACGTCCAACAGAACTGTGGATTTGAGAATTGTAAAATGTTTGGTTGATGTTAATCAAATAAGAATTTATAATTGGTCAAAATATGTCTTAGATAGACTTTGTGAAGCTGTGAAGAGCTACAAAGAAGGAAATATAGAATGGTTTTGTGGTTGTGTTTTGATGTTAGAGATTATCTATTTTCATCGATTGAGGTTTAGGAATGTTGTGTTAAATTCTACAATACCTTTAATTCAACATTGGACTGATGTGGATATAAGAGATAGAATTAGAAATGAAAAGTTGTCCAAGGGTTTTGGGTGTGGAATTCTTGAGTTTGATACATATCCAGTGAGTGAGAAGTTGCAATTTGAGGATGGACAAGTTGTTTGTAATCAATTCAAGGAAGCTCCTGTGAATCAAACTTCTGGAAAAGAATCTGTTGTTTATGAAGGTGTCCGTAGCAATGTTAAGGGTGTTATTCAGTTTGAGCTACCTGCCAGTTCAATGTCTAATGAGGAAATCCGTTCAATTGCTATTGATGTAAGTATTTTACCCTTTAATTCTGTCTGTCTGTTTGGTTTTTTCTTTCTTTTTTTTTTTTTTTTTTGTCACAAATTATTTTATTAAATCTAAGTGGTACATTTTTTTTTTCACAGGAAGTTTATGAGAAGTTTTTGCTCATGAAAAGAGATTTAGAAGTGGTATCTAACTTCTACATGAATGAGTTGAAAGTGTTATTTCAGACTCGTAAATCTAATGATGCTTCAACTTCGACACCTCCAATGTCCCAAACTGATTTATTCTTTATGAATCCTCGTGTTCATGAAATTGTTGATGAGATTGTGTCTCTTGTAAATTGGGTAAGCAAAGTGCCTAATGGTTTGGATGATGATGATATTGATGATAATGGTGCACCTGCAAAAGAGATTAATGTTGTAGTTGGTGAGGTTCCAAGGATAGGTTTTGAGCATGTTTTGAGTAATGGAAAATCTAAATGCTCCCTTGCTATGGATGTTAGTCTCTTTGGTGATAAAGTTACATATGTAACTGAATATATGAAGTCAAGTAATAAGGATATGAAGGTTTTGGATGCAGTTGTCCAGGAACTTGTTGACTACTGCATTAGTGATTATCATGGTTTCGATCTCAAGTAAGTCATGTCATTGTTCTTTTTGTTATTTATTTTCAAATTTTAATAATAAGTGACTATGTTAATATACATGTGTCTTTTTATTTCCTTGTACAGTGAGGTGTTGGTATCTTTTGGCAAACCATTTGAGATTACAAGGAATGAATTCCTTTCATTAGGTGCACCGGCTATTGCTATATCTTCTGTTATTATTGATTGTTGGGCTATGTTGCTTAATGAAAACCAGAAGAGTAGTGCACATGGACCTCAAAAACTATATTTTGGTGTTTCTCAAAGTGTAAGTATCTTTCGGCTATTTAGTTACTACATCATTATAATGGTAGTTGTTCATTATAAAAAATTCATAAATTAATTTCACTATGTATTGAAAACAGTCACTATGATTCATAAATTAATTTCACTATGCAATGAAAACAGTCACTATGTAATGCAAGTAATTACATTTAAGAAAAATAACTCTACCTTCTAATTTTTTTAATATTTATTAATGTTTGTTCTTTTTTAGGCTTTTTTACTGAAAGTTGCAAACACAGATAGTAACACACAAGACATTGACAAGCTATTTGACATTTGGTCAAGATGGTTGTTCATTCCTTGCAATGATTTTGATATTGCAAATGTTGAGTTGGTAATACATTGCAAATGTTGACAATCATTTTTCAACTAAGTACTTTTATATTAAGTTTTTCAAGCTTAATAGTTGTTTATTTATTTATTGCAGATATTTGTTCCTATACTCTTGAATGAACACTTTTTCCTAATTGTTGTGAATTTGAAGGAAGAAAAGCTTCAGTTCATAGATAATATGAGTTATGATACAAAGTACATGAGTGAGGTTGAGAAGTTCTCTGATGTTCTGGTAAAAATATGATATTTTGGATTTTATTTGTATTTTTCTAGTTAGGATATGCTTCATGGAACCTAAAGTATTAATTTATTTTGCCTAGAGTGATATGCTGAGTACTTTTCTTGATCAACGCCTTCCTCAAAGTAATGACTCAGTGAAGAACATGATTGAGTATACTTTGGAGTCACCTTCTGTAAATTGGAAGTCTGGAAAACAGAAGAATAATGATAGTGGCATTTATACTATGGTCAGCATGCTTTACTTTGATGGAGCTGATGTGTTCGACTGCAATGTTTTGAAAACGGTTATCTCGTCTCATTTTTTTTATTTGGCTTTCAATTTTTATTATATTAACTATTTCCTCCATGGAATTTAACTAGCTTTTTTATTCTAATTTTTGCTTAAATTTAGGTTTCAACTAGACGGACATTGAGAGCTCAGATTGCTGCTACTCTGGTATTATCTGATATGAACATTGTCAGAGATGAAGTTCTTGAAAAGCTATCTGAATTCAGATTAATAAGGAGTCAAGTTGCAAAAGATGTTTTTGATGGGATTAAGAAGAAAACAAAGCAAGGTAAAAAGGAAAAGAAAGTATAGGCAGACTAACGAATATGTGGATGAAGTTTTTTGCTCGGAAGTATTTGTATTTTGCACAGAAGTAGGAAATCTAATGTAATGATGTAGTTTGCATCAACAAATGGATAATCTGACAAAATTGTATAAGTGTTAATATAGAACAATATGATATGATTCCAGTTCATACAAAGCTTTTGAATTGGTGGTATTGGTAGTTCTTTTGATATGTAATCTTTAATTGACATTCAAGAAAGTTTAGTGAAATATATATTAGTTATAAATTTGGCGCCTATGTTATAAAAAAATGGTACCTATGTTATTTAAAAAGGTTTCTATATGATAAGGTCACTATGTATTTAAAAAGGTATCTATGTTATTTAAAAGGTTTCTATATTATAAGGTCACTATGTATTTAAAATGTTATTAGTTCAATGTGTTATATATAATTAAGTTATAATGCAAAATTATCACCATATTCATTATTATATTTTGTATACATATGTGACAAGTTTTCAAAGGACCTATGATAAATATGTACCTAAAAATGTCTAACTTTTTTTTATCTCTTAAAAAAGAAAAGAAAAACTTGAAAAAGGATATTATATTACTTTTTATAGTCATTATGTAAGTAAAATGGCATTATATGAGGTAAAAATTTCCAATTACTATGCGATGCAAAAGGATCACTATGAGATGCAAGAGCGTTACTATGTGATAAAAAAGATGTCTATAATAATCTGTCTCTATTTAAATAAAAGGTCACTATGTAAGGTAAAAGTGTCGTATTTATATTAATCTATTCTTAAGCTATTCATTTAGTATATCAATTAAAAGAACGAGCCCCTCCTTCCCTAACTTTGTATTGGCTTAATCGATGTGGATTAGAAGAATTGTTAAAATGTGAGTATTTTTTATACGGTTGTTATATCATAATAAAGGTCATTATATCACTAAAAAGGTTATCACGGAATAAGGTGTCAATACGATGAAAAAAAGTCACTATGACGTTAAAAACACATACTATAATATAAATTGAAGTTATCATATGCCAATATGTCACTACATCAAAATAACAATATAAAGGTCAATAAAAAGTTTAACAATAAAAGGTCACCCTATCAATAAAATTTGAGCAATAAAAGGTCCCTGTTTAATATATGTGAAACAATAACAATCACTATATCAATAAAAAGGGCACTATAGCACTATGTTCTTTCTTTCCTCTCATCTCCTCTATTTCAGCACTAGGCTGTCAGTAGCCGATGTTGCTTCTTGTAAATATGAAGTGGTTTTGCAGCCTTTCTACTCTTCTTTGAAATCCTGAAATCATGTACACGAACATATATAAAGTGAAAATCTAGTGGGAAGTAAACATAGTACAAAATTTATTTATTTTTTTCTACAAAAATACCTCATTCAAGTTGGATTTTTTTTGCGGACAATTCCGACTATCATGGTTTGTTCTCTGACCACAAGTTCTACAAAGTCTATCTTTCCTTTGGCTTTCCTCAATAGCTATCTCTTTGTCAGATTTTTTCCTTTTTCCACTACCACTACCTTTGTTGGAAGACTTGTTTGGAGGAAGAATATCAACAACTATGTCATTAGATCCAACAAATAATTCGATGTGTTTATTTTTTGCCTCACGTTTATCAACTGGACTTATAGAATCCAAGTCTTTCATCTCATTTTCAAAAGATATTAGCTTAGACAACAATGACTCTAGGCATTCAACTTTCTCCTCACAAAGACTTACACATGAAAAAAACCTGCACCATAAATCACCAACTAGCTTTTGCTTCTTATCCTTCTCTGCCCCATCAAGCAAGTTGTTTAAGCCAAAAATTGGTTTCTTCATAGCTTCTTTAGTCCAACGATGTAAAACATATTGCCTTGGAATCTCAAATAAGAACTTTCCTTTCATGACAAAGAGAATGTGACGACATAATATTCCAACAGATTCAAACATTTTACAAGAGCATGAAGCATCATTAGAACACAAAACATATGTGACATGATAGCTTTTTTTCCTTGTGTTGTCAACAATTCTATATTGCTCAATCCCTTCTTCTTCTTTGATGGTAACATTACTTATACCACAATTGTACAAAGCATGCTTGAATTCCTTTTGGAATATGTAAAATACATTATGAGTGTAAGCAAATGCAGCATGCTTTTCCAAGTACAGGGGGGTGACAAGTTGGGGATGTGTAGTTTTTGAAGTAGCATTCAACTTGTCTTGTGTGTGCCTTTGAGCATCGATTGCAGATTCATAGCGAAACCACAACTCAACCAATAACAAATGCTGATTGGTGAAATTAGTGAAAAAGCTATTTTCACTCTCTGATCTTTGAGTTGACCTTAAAATCCCACCCATAAAAAGGTCACGAAAGTAGGAAGGAATCCACATATTCCTTATATTATACATATTTTTGAACCAATCTTCATTCACTAAATCAAATTCAGACATCACAGACTGCCAACCAATTTCAAATTCTTCTGGTTCAAGGTCTTTATTCCACACAACAGAGTTTAGTTTATGAAGAAAATCAGTTTCTAAGCATAATTTGGGCCCTACCTTTTGTGGCACTTTTTTCATAATGTGCCACATACAAAACCTATGTTTTGCCTTATCAAGAACTTTTTCAATTGCCACTTTCATCGCAGGGTCTTGATCTGTCATGATACAGGTAGGCTGACAGTTATTCATTGCCTTTAAGAAAGTTTCAAATAACCATTCAAAGGATTCAATATCCTCCTTTGCAAGTAAGCCTATCCCAAAAGTCACACACTTACCATGGTGATCAACACCCGTAAATGGGGCAAAAACCATAGAGTATTTGTTGGTGTCAAATGTTGTATCAAATGTAATCATATCACAGAACAACGAATAATTTTTTCTACTAATTGCATCTGCCCAAAATACTCTTGTCAAGCGTTGATGTTCATCCATACAATGCTCAAAGAAAAAGGCACCTTCACTGTTTTCAGCTTTTTCTTTCAAATTGTTTATAAACATCGAAGCATCTTTCTCTTGTATGTAAGCTTTCAAGTCTCGATTAAAGTTCTTGAAATCATTCAATGTTGCACCTATATTATCATAGCTACCAAGATGTTCTTTCATCAACTTATAAGACTTGTTTGGACCAATGTTCAATCTAGAGTTGTCAAAAATGAATTTTTTCTGGCCAAGTTTAAGGTTTCCAACATTTGCCAAAAAATTCATTGTGTTGGGAGAAGCAAGATTGTGGCTATGAGATTCATGAAAGACATAAACCATCCATTTTCCATCTGAACGTTCTCTAAACCCAATCATTGCATTACATCCAACACGATTTATGGTTCTTTTTCTAGCTTTAGGATTTTTATCTTTGTTAGAAACTTTTGCTTTAGTTTCACCATCCTTCGTAAACCCTTGTTTATTACAATGTAAATATTTCAAGTAGACTTTATCACTATCTTTAATTCTCTTTTCAGTACCTAGTCTTACCACAAACCCACCAAATCTAGCATATTGCTTATAAAAATCAACACCTTTAAGTAAGGAATCAAAAAGCATACCAAGTGTAGGCTTTAGTTCAGGGGGACAACACGGTATAAACTCTTTTGTTCCTCTGGGAGTGTAACACACACTTGGGCCCTTTAGTGACGGTAAGTTTTCAACAACATTGGTAGTTGTAGATGTATTTGAGCAACTACCTTCTTCTGACTCCTCTTGCATTGTCTGCATATAATATCAAATATATGGTTTAAAATGGGTACTATAATAAAATAATCCATTCCATGGTGCAACTAACTGGACACCAACAAAAACAGTCTAAAATATATGGTTATGGTATCATAAAAAAGAGTTACTATATCGTATTAAGCAAGGTGTTAGTCATTTAAGCAAATACACAAACACCTTATGTGCAACAATTTCTCCTAGTGTTTAATATCATATATCCAGGAAAAAAAAACTTTAATATAAAAAAAATATATATATATTGCAAATATTTATACAAAAACGAAAAAAGAGCATATTGTTGATGAGGATTGAAACTACAAGTTGATGAGATTGAAACTAAAAAACAGAGCAATCAAATAGAAATTCAAGAAATTCAGCTTATATACAAGGAAATAATCACAGTTATATCGGTATTGTAAGCCGCAATCAACTAGAAATTCAGCTAAAAACAGAAATTAAAGAATGAAGAACACTTACTAAGATTATTGAGGAAGCCCCAAATTATTGAAGAATCACGAGCCCTCAATTTTGGGAGTAAATAATCAAAGTAGCCCTAAAATTTGACGAATTGAGGAATTGACGATTTGATAATGAGATGAAAAGAGGATTTGCTGAAATTTGCTGAGATTTTGCGTTTTTCAGCAAAATTAACAGAGGATTTGCTGAAATTTGCTAAGATTTTGTGTACCTTGTATTTCAACCGTTAGATTATATCATTAATAATCAATGGCTGAGATTTGCTGTTTTTAGTTTTCACCATAAGCCCTGTTTTTAGCGGAACCCTCCCGTATATATATATATATATATATATATATATATATATATATATATATATATATATATAACCAAAATACTTCTTTTGTTTCTTAATAATTCAAACACTAGGTGTTGCACAAAATTTTAGGAAATCATAGGGTGGGGGTCAAAAGAAGATTTTTATAATAGGTGGGGTCGTGGGGATATATTCAATTGTTAATAGGAGAAAGAAATAACAAAAAAAATAATATAAGTCAACTTGGTAGGAGAGAGAGATAATAAAATAGTATTAGGTCCTTACCAAATAAGGAAGTGTTGCATTATGAAACAAACGTAAAAGAAAAGTGTTGCGATTAACATTACAGATTGAGTATACGTTTGGTAATTTGGCTTTTTTATCGGCTTTTAGCCAGCTATTCCTCCAAAAGTCAAAAGTTAGTAAGACTAGCTATTTTGTGTTGGTTGTTGGCTTTTTATACTTACAACTACATTTCTATTCCAACAACTAATTTTATCAAACATATTTATTTAAGAGTCAAACAACCAGCATAAAAAGCCAATACATGGCAGCTAATTAGACCAATCAAGAGAAACAACCATCAACCAACAACCAACATCCAATAATAATATTATGAGTTGAACACATTGATATTTCAATCACACGTCACATACATCAAAGCGAAAACTTAAATTTTTTGTTTTTTGCGATTTCTAAAAAAATTGTGATTAAAATTTGAGTTTTTATACAGCGTGGTTTGGTCTGGGAAATGCGCTTCGGTTTGATGGGCTCCAAACCACACCAAACCGAGTCGCAAACGCCCCTATTTTTTAATAATATTTTTCTTATATATTTTTTTATGGAGATATTCACGGTTTAAAACAGTTTTAAAGGTTGTCAAAGTCAAATTGAGCAAAATTACAAAGTAAGAGTTGCATCCTTTCAATAAATATTCAAGCAAGCATGACACGTCGCATACATCTAAATCCTATTGTAAATTACTCAAACCTATGTACACACTACAAACTTATCATTGTTATCTTCACCTGACAACACATTTTATCTTACCTTTTGAAGAATCGACTTAGATTCGTTTTTCTTAAAGTTAATGTCACAATATTTCCTTCCTTTCAAATAAATTGGAAAAAATAAATAAATAAAGAAAAAATTATATTCATCCACTTAAGTTTTTTTTTAAAAAGACAAGTTTACCTTGAATTGTATTTCTTCTATTGATCTCTTTTATTTGCAACAATTTCACTTTATGTTTACCGATACATAACTTCAACCATTAATTACCTTAATTATCATTAAGGATAGAACAAAAAAAGTTAATATTATGAAAATATATATTAATACGTCTCAAATAAAATATCACTAGAAATGTATTTTAATGCCTTGGTGTTAAAATTTTGAATCATCTAAAATGACCCTACCATGAATTTTAAGTTTAATAAACATTAATATATCCAATGTTCTTAATGTATTATGAGTTGAATACTTGTGTTAAAAACTTTAAATATGTGTCGCATAAATTTAAATCTAATATAACTTACTCAAACCCATTTACACAATCCAAACTTTTTCCCATTTTTCTCTTTTGACAACACATTTTCTCTTACCTTCAGCTGAATAAATTCAAATTCAATTTTCTTAATTTGTAAAGCCCACTGTATTTCTTTCTAGTTACAAATCAAGTTATACTCATTGTGAAAAAATATATACTTTGTATATATACATTATACAAGTATTGTTCTCCCTCATCACAAAAAAATACACAAAATTAATTTTCTTTTTCTCCAAGGAAATCAAAACAAATTAGTAACAATAGTTAGCCACCCCCCAAAAAGGAAAAGAAACCCTACCCCATCAAACCCCATCACCTCTTTGTCCTTAGCCCCCCTCCTATCCCATTCCTTCAATCTTGCTCTTCTTTCTCTCTCTCTTTCATTTTCTCTCTCCTCAAAGCTCAAAAGTTAACCCACAAAAACCCACCATCAATTTACCACCATTAATACTAACCATGAAGCTCAACAAAAGCAAAAACAAAGGCAAAGTTCACCCTTCTCCTTCTTCTTCTGCAACTATCAATGTCGATGACCCAATTTCTTCACTGAGTCATCTCCTTCCAACTGCGATTCTTACTCTAATCTCCATTCTCTCTCTTCAAGACCGCGAAGCTCTCGCTTATATGATTACTCATTCCCTCAAATCTTCTACTCTTAACTACTGTTCTTCCTCAAATTTTGACCAAAAAAGCAAGAAAAAATCCAACAAAAAATCATTTTCTACAATAATACCCACAACTACAAATCATTCATCTCCTTGCTTTGATTGTTGTTGTTTTGATTGTTTCTCCCATTTTTGGAATCGCTGGGATTCTTCCCCTCATAGTGAGCTTATTCATCAAGCCATTGAAGCCTTCGAAGAGCACCTTTCCTCAACAGAGAAGACGAAAACGACGTCGTCAAAGAAGAAGAAAGACAACAACAAAAATGGAAGAAGTAGCAGTAGAAAGAAAGAGAAAACGGTGAGTGCTGACGTGGAGAAGAGAGACTCTTGTGGGTCATCTACTTATCTAACGCCGGAGATTCTTCCTCCAGTAGTTGTTGTCGATGATGAAGAAAGTAGTAAAAATGAAGTGAAAGAAGAAGTTCGGTCGCCGGAGATTCTGGTGTGTGCTGACGTGGAGGAGAGAGAAAATGAGGAACATCCAGTTCCGGGTGAAATAAGTGGGGCCCAGAAAGAGTTGCAGCAACAAGAGCAGCAGCAGCACAAAGGGTTGGCGAGGAAGGTACTTCCGGACGTCATTGGGTTATTTCATTCTCGTTTTTGGAAGAATCTTTGGGGTCCGAATGTGTGATAAAAGAAAAAGGAAAAAGATAAATAGAAGTATTAAAAAAATTTAAAAATGAAAAAGCTTAGTCAAAATTATTCCTTCAACCTCTTTATTTTTTTTTGTTTGATTTAATTTTCTTAATCTTTAAGAGAAGGGTTATTAGGGAAGTGATTAATGTGTTGTTATTTGGGTGATATATGATATAGTAGCTGTTAATGTCAATTAAATGTTGGTAGTTAAAATAGTCGGATGTATACTTTATATGCATTTGAATAGTACTAGTAAAATTAGTCATTTTTGTTGGTAAGGATTTCTAAATTTCTTGTGAATTATTCAATTATATGAACTTTTGAGGAGTTGGAGTTGAGTCATTGAGATTGAGTTGATGATTAGGTAAGAATTGAGATGAAATTAACCAATTTTCAATTTGATGTTTTGCTACTAAATGAGATGTCTTTCTTACCTTTTTTGAAAACTTTGGGACAAAATTTATGCAAGGCATTTTGAATTTGCACTAGATTCTGGCTAGTTTAGAGTGTTAAGTCTTGAGATAGTAAAGCCGTAATTAAATTTCTTATTCATCACTATTTACCATTACTTACCATGTTTTAAAGTCTTCAAGTAGGGTGAAATTGAGTTTTGTCTACATCATTACTTGTCTATTATTACTCTCAGGATTACTGGTCATTTCCCAAAAAAAAGATGAATGTGAATTTTTTTTATTTGTTCATCTTCCTTTATTTTAGTGGAACATTTGGATGTAATGAGAAGAAAATACAATAAAAATTCATTTTCATCGTCAAGTTAAATCCTAGATCGTCAGGTTAAATACAGTAGTTTTTTTTTTCTATTAAAAAAAAAGAAGTTAAATCCTTTGTTTTTTTCCCTCTTGAATCTTGTTATCTTTTTGTGTTCCATTTTTATTTTTAAGATACCATTATTTCCCTAAAAAAATACATTTTTTTTTTTAATTATTATTGGAGGTTAGGAGATGGGTCATTTTGTAAATTAGGTAAAAACAGGTCCTTTGTGAAAAAGACCAGTGAAAAAAAGAGGGTAGAGGTCAGAAATGGTAGATAATACTTGTATAGTAGGAGTAGCTGACCGTATTACGAAACCCCAAAAAATGTGTCACGCTTTCACTAGTAGTTTTATGGTAGTAACCTTTATTAAATTCCCGCCTAATTTTTTTCGTATTATCAAAAACAATTAATCATATTTTTTAGTTCATTTTTTCTCGAGTGCCAAAAAATACTCGAAAACAAAGAAAGGAGAAATGCGAATTCCCATGCAATTTCCTTTTGATTCGTCTTCCCTTTGTTATGATGTGGTGGAAGCCATTTTTTAGAATAATAAAATGTTTTTTTGACTTGTTACTCCGTATTATATAGTAGAGTGGTACGGCACTAGTACTGTGGAGTTGTATTAATTTGATCACTAATCTTTAGTTAGGTGTGTATTATTGAAAAGGCATTACATAAAGACAACGATTACTGCTGGTTTAATCGGTGGAGTTTGGATTTAGACGTATATTGTAAAGCTAAAAAAGTAGAAACTCTGAACATAAATAGATTCAAATATTGTAAAAATAGTGTACGTTTGTCATAAAAGCTAGTCTTATTAATCTTGTTATTACTCATTTATGTATAAAATTAACATGTGTTAAAGTGCCAAACACATAACCACCAACCTATTGTTAGACTAATGGTAAGAAAATGACCTTTCAATCTTGAGGGTCTATGAGGTGACCAGTAACATATCTTTGTTTTAGAGTCTTATTGTATGGATCTTAAAACATACATGAATTTAAACTTGTGCAAATAAAAGAAAATTGTAAATAAGATAAGAAAAGGCAAGAAGAGATTCGCTCCATTTTCAAAATTTTGACTCGTTCTATGTTGAGTCATTTTTTTTTTGGATGAGATCTTGAGTCATTTTTAAAAATTCAATTTTTTTTTTTTTTTTTATTCCAATTGAAGACCCAAATTATGAAGGGTACAAGGAATACCCTCTTAAGGTTGATGTAATCAGAATTGAACCCAACACTTAAGCTTAAAATTTCCGAGAGTGACCAACTTCTTCTCCATACTTCATTTAATATGCAAAGATTTTGGTTATTTCTTTGATAAATTTTTCTGTAATACCCTCAAACATACCCTTGTTCACCCCAAGATTTCAAAACAACTCTTCTACTTCTAGTATTCTACGAGTAAACTTGGTTCAAATTGGCTTGCTAACTCTGTAAAAGTTTAAGGATAGGGATCCCTACCCTCAAAATCTCCACAACGGGGATTTATTTGAAGATGACACGAGATCAAACCATTCGTAACACGACATAATACAACACGCTATTATATTGTGTCGGGCCATGGGCCAAGCCATTTTTTCCTCTGGAGAAGCATGATAAGCTCGACAAAGTTTGACACAACAAAGTACAATATAATAAGTTAATTTTGACTTAGACACGCAAACACGACACAACACAGTAGCACGTGGAATTGGTAGTGATTGCGCTGCCCTTAGTAAATTTTGACAAGATGCACATTGCAAGTGGGCTCAATTGTGTGTCGAGCTTAGAAATGTACCTGACACAGAAACGGTTAGAAAAAGGCCCACAAGTCCCAATAGAGGTGATCATCAATGATCCAATTCGCTAGCCCGATCCAGCCCAACATGAAAAAGTGTAGGTTTGGCAACATTTTCTGGTTCAAAAGTCAAGCTCAACCCGAATAATATCGGGAAACTCACTTTGGTTTGATAAACGCGACATTATTTTACGGGTTATGGCACAAAATTTTATGCATAGACTTAACCTGGCCCAATTTTTTTTTATCACCTATAGTTGTAATAAGTCTGAGTTGCATTTTAGTGTAGTTAGAATAGTTGCACCACTGTCTGTAAAATGAACATGTAGTAAAAAAATACGAACACGTAAAAATAAACAAACATTCAATAATAAAAAAATGAACACATTAAAAAAAATGAACATTTAGTACTTAAAAAGTGAACATGTTAAAAAAAATCATAATTAAGTATTAAAAATAAACATGATAACCATAAAATTTCTGGGCCACAACCTTAAAAATGAACATTTAGTGTAAAAATAATTATGAACACGTAAAAAAACAAAGAAAAAAAGAACATTTATTAATAAAAATGAACATGTCAAAAATAATTATGAACATTAGTATATTAAAAGTGAACATTTATCATACAATAATTGAATAGCTGGACCACACCCAAAAAATGAACATTTCATAAAAATAAATGAACATATTAAAGAAAATGAACCTTTATTATAAGAAAAATGAACACGTGAAAAAAAATTATGAACATTTAGTATATTAAAAATGAACATGATTTTCTTATATTCATAAAAATTCAAATTCATTGTATATAATTATTAACGAAAAATAAAGATAAAATAAATCATTAAAATATGTTCAGTTTTTATGTATTAAATGTTCATTTTTATTGTATAAAATGTTCATTTTGTACTAAATGTTCATTTTTATTGTATAAAATGTTCATTTTGTACTAAATGTTCAATTTTAAAATACGTTTTGTTTTTTTTGTTTTTATTTATTTTTTTTTCCAAAAATTATACACAAATATTAGCAACTCAATAAAAAAAATCGAAATTCATAATAACAAACAAATTAAAGATGCAACAACTCAATAATTCATCACAAAAACTCATTCATTAAATTAATATGCATAAAAAAATTCAAAAATTCAGTTGAAATAGTCTAATTCACTAGATTCATCAAAAAGTAAATTGAAATTCATCAAATTTTTCAAATTGAAATTCACCAATTATAAAATCAGAAAAATCAATTACAAATTCAGCCCAAATCTAATCTAATTAAAACTAATTAAAAATCAAGAACACAAAAACTAACCTGCATTGATGATCTCTTTCGACTAACAACCAAATCCATAATAATATAGAAAACAAAGGAAAAAGAAAATGGTGACGATCGCGACGAAGATGATGGAGAATAGTACAATGGTGAGGAATTGGAGAATATCCAAAGTAGGAGGATAAAGAAGTTTAAAAATAGAAGGAAAGTGAGGTAAGAAAGAAAATTTACTTGTAAGGAAAGGGGGGAAAAAAAAAGAGGAGAGAGAAAATTTTGAATGGAGAAGAAAATAGAGATAGAAAATTAATGGAGGTAACGAAGAAGAAGAGAGAGAGGTAAATATAAGGAAGGGAGAAAAAATGTATGTTCGTTTTTAAAGTACTATATGTTCATATATATGGTTGTTGCAGCTAGCTGCACAAGTGTGTAGCTAAAAATTTGTGGTCCACAACCATATCTATAATTAATCCCCAACCTTAAAATTATACAAAGTAAATTATTTCGTACTAACTTTGTGTTTTTTTTATATTTTTTTTTTACAAAAATCTACATTTTAATACTTTCTCCATTTTTTAAGTTGACACACTTAGACTTTTGCACTATCCATCTATTCACAAACTACATTTTGACTAATTTTTTGTGATTTATAGCCACAATAAAACATAATCATGTGGGATTTTATTTGAATCGTCTCACCGTAAATTTTATTAATATCCAAATTTTATCATTTTTCAATGTTGATAATTAAGAATATTAATCGTTAAAATTGAGCATTGGCACGTAATAATAAAAACGTGTCAACAAAAAAAATAATAAAAAAATAGAAGTATTATATCTATAATCTATTTCCTCTCATGGTCCTCACTCAAATCTACTACTACCTTTTTTTTTTCTTTATATTCTTTTTATTGCTTCCTCCGTTTTAAATTAGATGCACCACTTTTGTAATTACGGACTCCTAGACAATTTTTGGAATAGAGAAAGGTAGAGAGGGAATATAAAGAGGGTCCACATGATAAAATGATGCATTTTTAAAAAGTGATACATCTAATAAAAAATGGAGAAAGTGTTTTTTTTCTCTCACATTCATTATTTTCTAATACACTATTAAGTCACTATCTTGAACGATTTCCCTCAAAATTGATTAAAGATAAGATAATTCCCTATTTGTGTTGGTTTTATAACTAATTCCCACCATATTGTCCACGTAGGATTGGTGGTATCTTTGTTATTTTTTTTTAAATTCTGGATTGGTGGTATCTTTGTTATTTTTTTTTTAAATTCTGGTTTAGCAAAGAACTGCTAAAGGTGATAGCGGTTTTATTGTGAAAAACCGCTATTACCGTTAGTGGTTCTTCTAATTAAGGAAGTGGAAAGAAGATTATAAGTGTGATTTATTTTAATTAGAAAAACTGCTCACGATGATAGCGGTTTTATTGTATAGAACCGTTATCACCGTTAGCGGTTCTTCACTAAACCAAAATTTTTTTTACAAAAAAAACAAAAAACAAAAAACCAAAGCTACCACCAATCCTACGTAGACAATATGATGGGAATTAGTTTTAAAACCAACACAAATAGGGAATTATTTTATCTTTAAGCAATTTTGAGGAAAATTGTTCTCACTATCTTTCTTTTATAATTTTCTTCTATTGGTCCCTAACATGTTGGTAACCGATTTTCATAGGTGAACATGTTACGTGTCACTTTGTGATTGGTTGAAATTAAAAAAAGAAAAAAAAAATTTAAAAAGAAAAACGAAAAAATTTAAAAGAGAAAAAAAATACCTCAACCACTCAAACCCCCACGCCACCCTATCCCAAATTTTACACAACTGTCCCTTCCCACCCCCTCCACCCACCAGCAGCCCCCACCCCCATCCCCACCACCATCGAAATCTTCCCCGGCCTTCTCCACAACCCACCCAACGACAACGCCCCCCTCCC